ATTCGGGGGTACCCTGAGTCCTCAAGTCCCATTATTCGAGGGTACCTTTGGGCCCTCAAGTCCTACTGTTGGGGATAGCCTCAGCTCCTCAAGTCGTAGTATTCGGGAGGAGGGGTTCTTTTGGGTCCTCAAGTCCTATTATTAGGGGTACCCTTGGTCCTCAAGTCCTACTATAGAAGGGTACCCTTGGGTTCTCAAGCACTACTGTTAGGGTACTCGTGGCTCCTGAAGTCCTACCATAGTGGAATGCCTTGAGTCCTGAAATACTATTGCGCATCAGCCTGCAGCTCTCAATCGGTACCATTCGATTCCCTAAGATGATCAATTTCTACTAAATGCGAAGGGGAACTGCTAGCTGCTCAATTACTACTGCAAAGAACTGTTGGGGGAGTTTGAGGGCATCACATTGGGCGTATGTTGACAGGATAATGGAAGTGATCCAGCAATTGGTACTCTTCGAGACATTTTTACTGGATATGTGTCATGAGCCTGTACTGAGTAATTGTGTCTAGCTCGTGGTGAGTGTTGTGGCATAACCGATAGCACCGGAGGACAGTTGCTTTGACAGCGCGGCTCAGGTTAGACGGTTGGTTTCCAGAGCCAAACAGAGGAGGTTATTTATGGTGATCGCAGTAATGAGAGTGATGTCTTCTGACAATTTTAGACTGTGTGAATGTGATTTTCTGGCTCAACACTTTCAGCTGACTGGCAAGCAGGAATGAAAAAGACAAACAGGGAGTCGCTTCGATTTTGCGTGAGGAAGGAAATTATGTTTTGCATGATAATGGTGCTTGGAAATGAGCCGTACAAGCTGTCAATAAGTAGCTGCTGTTTCTCAGAATCCGCGTTTCTTCGGTTGACGAAAACGATTTCCTATTATTGAGAGCAAGAAGGATTAAACATGCTTTTGTACTTGATGGTACGTTCTCGTTCGATTTGGATTATGCTCACGGTTCTTGATTCTTCTTGGTACTTCCTCATATTTTTCTTTTCTTCTAAACTCATTCAAAGTTTTCTAACGGTTTTTACTGCATGTGGATACTAGTATTATAGCATCAGTTTTTGATGGATATAGTTTCAGAACGCTTTAAGCATATGTGATGAAGAATTATAAAGAGAAAAACGAGAAAAAACGTGTAACATTCGGAAAGTGCCGGGTAGAAGATGTGTTATATCGTGGACCAAGTGTTTCATGATAGCGAATCTACACTTTGTGTCTCAGAATCAACAATGACCCATTTGATTATTCTTCATTAGTTTATTTTCTATAATAGCTCAACTGGACCTTTCATACTCTATGTCACCTTCCAGAGTGAATGAAGAATTTCCATCACCTTTTTGTTGGAGAAGTTTAGAGTTCAATAGAGCTGAAGGTGCTGTTTTCAAAGCTGATGTTTTTTATTTGCAGTGGATAAGACCGTAAGAAAGACGCGAAGCAGTCTTCGAAGGCCTCATAAAAACAGATTTTGACCTAAACACTCTGAAATTCGATTTGGATTCGTTGAAAAACGTTTTATTTTCATACAGAGTGTTTTTTTTGTATAGACCTGTAGGAAGGTCCCGGACATTCAAAGTCTTGTTTGTAGATGTATTCGAAAAGTGTTCTACTTGGGTGAAACTTACGCATAATGATTTTTCCAGTGGACAATAGGTACAGTTTTGTACGCGTGGTCCAGCGAGATTTTTTATTCAAACATCTGGTTCGATATTATTTTTCTGATCATATCATACCATTTGTAACTTAAAACTTGATGCCCGATGAATCGCTTTTATCTCAAGTGCCATACTTGTCAGCCAATTTTACTTTGCGTTTGAATTATAAAGATCAGTTTTAGTAGAAAAAACATTGTTTGAGTTCAAAAGAAAGTAATGTTCGTAAATCAGTGCGAAACTAGGACTATTGATGTCTTGTAAATTATTTCCTCAGGTTTTGGCTTCAGTTACATGTCCAGGCTTGGCCCTCAGAGATATCTGCAAAAATGAATTCCAACCAAAAACTATTTTGACAGTGTAATTACCATTTGGGACATAAACAACGGTTCTTCGATACCCTTCTAAATAGAACTGGTATTTCATCTGGCAGCACATTACCGAATCCCAGCTCCTTTATACCATAAAACTTCACCCAAACTGTAATCGAAGTATCGATGACTCATACGCACTTTCGGATTTCAAAATGATAGCCATTTAGGGGGTTCCTGTAATCCGACCCACTACTCTTAATAACCACCAACATGTACCGCATCTTTCCTTACTATCGTGCTTTGCGTTTCCACGTGTCCCATCACTTTCAGAGATCGCACTAACACATTCGGCCGAGTAATCGCGTAATAATCAGAAGACCACCGACACCGATGGTCTCCTACGAACAAATATCCCGTCATCAACAACGTACCAACACTTCCAATAATATCGTACACAATGCGCCGATAACTACAGGACCGCGCACCTAAAAGACGACTCTTCCCGAAGCACTTCGCTACCCAAGCATACTTCCGCATAGTGGTCTTTCAGAATCCAAGGATACATCTTAGAGTGTCACATCAGTACCCAAGAGTACACCGCTATAGCAGCACTTGAGAACCAGAAGGCATCCCCATGTCTTGCCACTTGAGAACCCAAGAGTACCCCCTAATAGTAGGACTTGAGGACCCAAGAGTACCCCATCATAGTAGGATTTGAAGACCCAAGGGTATCCCCCAATAGTAGGACTTGAAGACCCTAAGCTACTGGCTTGATGATGGTAGACACTCACTTTATCGTTCCCAGATCGTCATCCGGGAACAACAATCTCCCATCCCTAGCTCTAAGACTATGACAAACTACCGTAAAAAACATGAGCCAAATCATCGAGTTTGAAAGTTCAATTTCCTTTCATCTCTATCATATAAATAATTGCTGAAGCAGTTCTTTGGATGCATGAGGAATCATGAAATCAATCTTAACTTTACCTAATTTTCGGCTCAGAATACAGTATTTCTGGAGATAGTTCACTTTTCGGATTTTTGCAGATCCTCAAACTTTGGATCAATTACTCTACTATTTGAGATTGGTTGGTATGAAGCCGGCAACTCTTTTGCTTATGCATGACATCCGATTCTTTTTACAAGGTGACTAAAAATGACTGCAAGGAAAACTAAACCCGAACTCGACCTTCGAGACCGAATCCGAACCCGAACTCTGAAACCGAACAGGAACCCGAACCCAAACCCTGAAACCGAACCCGAACGCGAACCCGAACCCGAACCAGAATCCGAACCCGAATCCGAACTCTGAAACCGAACCCGAAC